AACCTAAACCTATATAGACAAAGGCTTCAACACATACCCTCTTATTTGTAAATGGGTTTTATCGCGATCTGACAATAATCAATAAAATTGACTCTCTCTCTCTCTCCCCCCCGTGTGTGTCTCTCTGTCCGTGATGATAGCTCCCTGTATAGGGTCGTTGTTACAAATGATAGTTTCATTGGCATCTTAATAATGCCTCCAACATATTTATTTAACGTGATATAACATATCTCAAAACTTGATCTCATGATTTTATAATAAGTTGATTCAATTTCTTTAACTAATTAAACCAAACATCCCTCAATCTCATTCCTAATTTTTTGATAATAGTCAAAATAAAAGTAGGTTGGAGAATACGCAAATGTATCTCTTTATTGAGAAATAAATGAATCTCAAGTCTCAACTACTCCTATCCACGAACTAATTATAATTGATAAGGGGTCCACGTATTTATCTGTACAAGCATAATTGAAGTATGCTTGTCTTCTTTTTGCTTGATGAAGGACTAGGAAGGGACTATGTAAGGAGTAATTTTTTTTAAAATAACCTACAGTACTTAACTTCTTAGAAAAAATGGTATATTTTCAAATTTAATTTATTAGAAACAAATCAATATTTCAATTTTAGTTGTTTAGTAAAAAGAATCGGGGCAATCAACTTCATTAAACATCAAGGTGATGAACCCATTCAGTTAAAATATGACCCAGGGACAATTTATCAGAGTAGCCATTGAATGACTTAGACCTAGAGATAATAAAAGCTGGCTGTTAAATAATACTCTCTCCGTCTAAATTATTAAATATTTTTAAATTAAATTTCACATATCAATAGACCTCATTAAATATACTTAATGATTTTATCTTTTCAAAATAAAAATATAAACTTTTAAAAATATCTATAATTTAATACATTGAAAAGATAAGAGACAAAAATTAATTATAGAGAGAGAAAAGATAGTATTAAAATTGGTACATTTAATAAAACCTTAATATATTCAAAGTGATGGAAAAACTCATTCAAAAGTACCTTATAATTTGGGACGAAGGGAGTAATAGTTTTTTTTATCTAGAGTTATAAAACATTTTTGGAGAGCTTCAGATTTGAAGATATAAGATATTTTGACAAAAATAAATTTTCATTAATGATATTTTTTAATAATATTCCTTCCATTATATGCTTTCCTTAATATTATTTTATAAATTGAGCATTAAATGAAAGATATTTTTTTAAGTTTATATTTAAAAAAAAATAAAAAATGATAATAAAATCCCTTCAAATTATATAAATGATAATTTGAACCCTCAAAATGTCATAACGCCAGTGAAGTTCTTAGAGATCTCTTTATCAATAAATTTTTAAGAAAAAAGATCCATTTACTTTTATTGAAAACAACAAGACCCAATTACAACTTTTATTTAAGAAATCATAATTTTTATTTTGTAAATTGCAAGAGTTGAATAAGAAATCATAACTTATTAAATGTGATTGTTGTTATGAAAAAATAAAACCCAATGATAACTTTTTTTTAAGGAATAACAATTTTTATTCTATGAATCACAATAATTGAACAAAAAAATCACAATTTGTCAAGTTAATTTCTATTATTAAAAAGCAAGTTCTCAAAGTAAAAACTGTATTCACAACTTTTTATTTAAAGAATCACAACCTTCCTTCAAAGAATTGTAATAATTTAATAAAAAATTATAATTTATCAATAAGGGTAAAGTGATATCTTTTTTAAAAAAGTTATTGATAAAGAAGTTTCTAAGAACTTCATTAGTATTATAACATTTTAAGGAATTAAATTGTCATTTGCATAATTTGGAGAAATTTCACTATCATTTTCTCAAAAATAAAATTATGAAGTGCATTTACTATTTAATAAGATTTATTAATATGTGTGATCTTATCTAAAATGTCTTATAATTTAAGATGAAGTGGGTATCACACAATGATACTCCTAGTATGTGTGATTTTGTTTAGAATGTCTTGTAATTTGAGATGAAGTGGGTATTACATAATGATACTCCCTCCACATCTCAATTTAGATACTCTCTTTGTCCTTATATATATAGCGTGTTTCATAAAAACGTATCTTGTTCCTAAATGTAAGATGCATCATGATATTTTTTTAGTATTAATCGTGTACTTTGGCCATTGCTACCATAATATTAATTGACATTATTAGAGGCAAAATTAAAAAATTATTGTGATTTAATGTGATTTTAATCAAATAACAAACTTTTATTAGTATGTGAAATTCAGTTAAAAACACATTATATACAGGGACAGAGGGAGTAACAATTTGAAATAAAATTATAGATACTAACAAAGCTCATTAAATGTATCTCACAATTGTATTCTTTTAAAATAAAAATATAAACTTCTAAAAATGCTCTTCATTTCATACTCTACATGTGAAAGAATATTAAAAAGAGATAATATAATGGGAAGTATAATATTAAAAAAGCATTTATAAATGAAACATTGTTTTTGTTGAAGCATCTTAAATTTAGTGACGCTAAATCTTTTTAAATGTATTTTATAATCTGAAATGGATGTATATATTTTAATTTTTATACATGAACTAAGAAATCTTTTTTAAAAATATTTTATCTAGAATTGGCAGGGAGGATAACTTATTAATTTTTTGTATAATTTTTAAATGATATATAAAGGACAAAAGTACACCCAAAGCTTTGTTTTTCGAACAAAAAAAGTACACCCAAATTTAACTTAAATAAAACATTGACATTAAGCATGCAATCCTTCTAAACTACAATATAAAGTATTTTTTAAAAAATTATGTTTAATCTAAAATATAAAAGATTAAGTAAGTTATATATATATATATATATATATATATTTTAATTATATTTTTATTTTATTAAATTTTACTCTATTAATTAAAGAACGTGCTTTAAATAAATTAAATATTATATTTATTTCCCTCAAAATATTTACTGACATGGGTTTCACACTAAAAAGAATGAAGCGCACGGAAAAGATAGGTGTATGAGTCACGCTTACCTGTTGCGGTATTAAGCCTGGAACGGACAACCACGATGATGGAATCCAACTTTTATTTTTTTTGCCTGGACATGAAATGATGGAATCGAATTTAGCACCACAGGATGTGGGAAGGACGAGATGAATAGGAAGAGCCGCTTTACCACCTTTCACATTATCTGAGGATGAGGCCGACCCTTGGAAGTGGGGAAAAGTCACGTAATCACGAATTATGGCAAGTAAGTGCGACGCCCACTCGCTGCTAATTAAAACAAGCCACCGGCAATAACAGGTTCCAGGTTTTGCACGTTGTTCAAAATTATCGATTAATGTAAACTAAACGTTGGTTTTGTTTCCATTTTTATTTTTTGTTTTTAAAAATTATCTTGCAATATATTTTTAATTTTTTTTTCAAACAAAATGAAAAAAGATTCATTTCATCGTGTTAATTTAAAATTTAGTTTTATAACTAAAAATCAGCCAACAGTTATAATTGCTAATAGTTAACAATAGTGACTTATAATAGTAATTGGTTGAGGTGACCAACTAATTATAGTTTTTAATAATGATATGTAATGTATTTTGAAAATGAGAAAAACAAAACAAAAATAATTTTAAAATGTTTTAATTTTTTGTTTTTAAAAACCAAAGATGGAGGAGTTCTAAAAACAAGTTATATTCAAAATTCTTATCTGGATAAGTTTATAACTTTTTGTATTTAAAAACAAAAGACTATTTTCAAAAATGGAAGCCAAACAAGCCCTAAAATATCCTCCTCTAATCCTTCGTGCAAGAGAAAAAAGCAGGAATAAAATTATAGGTAGTTAAACGGGATATAATTATAGAATAAATAAATAAAGCAATGAAATTGTAAAATAACAATAATTTCAACGAAAGACAAAAAAACCTCAAACAACTTTTGAGTGAAGGGAGTATGAAGAAAATAAGAAGTAATTGATCAGGTTTAGTGGCCTCCCTTTTAGCTTTCGAGAATAAATAATTGAGAAAAAGAAAACCCGAAAGTCAGTGGAGCTGCGGACGGATCACATGGTGTCACGGGCGGTCGCTTTAGAGCGCATCATCTGGTTTCCAATCAGCATTAAGCACCCAATTGACGATCCTCGTTAAGAGTGTGTTCGGTTCAGGGGATAAAAGAGTTTTGATGTTTACCTTATTTGATTTCTAAAAAAAAAAATAATAATTATATAAAAATAATTTACCTTTATTTTATCAGTGTTGAGATATTAAAAAAGTATATTTATATTTATTATAAATAATATACTGGTCAGGTATGAAAAATTTTACTCTTCTCTTCCAAATCTCCCTAATTTGGAGGGGAGATTTTAAAAAATTCTCCTCCCCTACCCTCTAATTTTTTGAATCAAACAAGAGGAAGGAGGCAAAATGCCTCCCACCATTCCCCTCTCCAACTAAACACTCTTTAAAGGCTCCCATTCTACACGTAACATGTTCGGTGATGTTAAAAGACAAACATGAACCATAGGAATATCAAATTGAAGAATTAAGAATTAAATATAAGATGATCAAAATGAATCCATTATCACTAAAAGATGTGTCCTCCTCTTATTTTGGTTAGAGGGTAAAAAGAATATTAATTTTTGTCCAATTTAAAAACTATTTATCTATTCTTTTATATTTATCTTCATCCTTATAAAATGTTAAAAAAATAATTTTTTTATATTTATTTGATAAAAGAGGCAAAATTTTATTAAATTTTAATATTAAGTTAATAACATTTAAAATTTTTATTGATTTTAATAAAATATATTAAAAATAATTTATAAGTAAAAAAATTAAAGAAAAAATATTATAAAATTTTTCTTTTAAAAATATTTGATATTTTAAATTTTTGTTTGAAATAATTTTATGTTACAATTTTTTAAAAAATGAGCAATTGACCATGTAATCTTCACTGCCACGTGACATTTTTTTTTTTAAAGAAGGTAGATATATGTGTCCTGTGGCTCATTTTCTTCCTCTTTTCCATCTTCCTCTTCCTTGACTCCTCTTCTCATTTCCTTCGTCGCTCAACATGACTATTGACTCAATCGATTGGGAGCTCAGCCACTTTTGATTTGTGGCATGGCATCTTCAGCGGCCTGCTCCATCGTTGTTGTTCAACCACCAATCAACTCCATCACAGCCTTTGGAGAGATCAAGGGTTTTACATGTTCACATCGTAGAGCGAAATAGGACTTCTAATGGCCCAATCGCCACCTTTCATGATCCCCAATATGACGACACCGAAGATTCTCCGCCAAAGCTCTCTGGTTTTTCGAAAGCCACCAACTTTTTGATTGTGAAGAGAGAAGGCACGCGTTCGCCTCTGAGAAGCTGGATGGACACAACGACGTAGTCAATTTCATCTTTCCAGGGACTTGGTTAAGGTTCAGTTTTTACTTTGATTTCTTGTTAATGGTTGAATCCCAAGCGTGTTGAAATCTCTGCTATGATTTTTGCTCACATTTTTGCTTGTGAAATTTTGCTTCAATTTTTGCTCTGAGCTCTGAGCTCTGCTTTGATTTCTCCTTGTACTATGATTGTGGCTCCGTTCGCTTCATCTAACACAACCTCGTCTTCACCTTTCACCTAGCTGTTTTGAAAGGTTGAAAAAGATGAAGGGGAAGAAACTCGACCTCAACCTCTCGTCTTCATCGAAGTTGCGAAGAAATTCCTAGAGCACACCCAACTAGTGAGCATACCTAGACTTGATGAAATCCTCTATATTTGGTTGATTTCATCTATCGTGGTGTATTTTTGCTTAATTAGTTATATTATTCACCGACTGAATTGACAAGTTTGGGTGCTCCATTATCCACGCATTGTTTTTTGTTTGTTTTTGCTGATTTGAATTTTATGGATCATTTTAGTTAAATTTGTGAGTTCCGGAGTTGAAAATAATATCAGTGCCTACAAATTTCGTTTTGAGTTCTTGGAAAGCTTTGGTTTTTGGATCTAAGCTATAAGGTGGTGGGGGTCGTTGGAGGGAGTGAGGATAGGGGTGATCGGAGGGAGAGGAAATGACATGGGGTGGAAGAAGTGGAGTGCCACGTTTGATGTTATTAAAGACAAAGAGGAAATGACATTTGCCTTTTTGTTTTTTTAATTTTTTTAAAACAAAATGCCATGTGGTATAGTGAAAGTCAAACACACAATCAACCCTGATGATAGAACAAAATTACTTCATTTTAAGAAGTTTCGAGACAAACTTATTCAAACAAAAATTTAAGATATTAGATATCATCAGAGAAAAAATTTTAAGATATTTTTACATTTTAAAAACGTTTCTCTTCAACGAGTAATCTTTGGTGGGTTAAACCCACCAATTTTAGCACGACTTCATATGAAAATGACATATAATATTTTAAAATTCAACAGGTTAAAAAAATTACAATTTTTAAAGTCTCTGCATGTGATGGTTTATTAAACTTTTTATTACATATTAATATTTTTGGTTTTCCCTGTCTGTCCCAAGCTCAAAACTATTTTTGGTTTTGGGATGGAAAATAATGTTTTTGGTTCCCTGACACCACGAATGAACTCTCACGAAAACGACGACACGATGATGATATACTTGGCATTATATAATGGAGGCGGATGTTTGTTATTATTTGGCTAACATTTTCCCCGCAAGGTTAAACAAGGCATTGTGTTATTAAACATGAATGTGTGCTAAAGGGGGGGGGGGGGGGAAGAACAGGCGAAACCGAAGGTCCAAAACCAGAATACGAGGCTGGCATCAATTCGTCAGGAACACCGCATGCAAAACTTCTCAATTTTTTTAGTTTAACTGTCTAAGTAAAGGGATGGATGGCGGGGCGGGCCAATTCAGGTCGGATGGATGGAAGCCTTGAATTGCTGGACTAAGAGTCATGATCGGGCCTAAACATGAAACCCAAATGGAGGCCCAAAGTGATTACAGAATGCGTGGCCAGTTGTCTGAATAGGTCAGATGGGTGTGGGGGAGGACATGGCATATTCAGGTGTTTGACCCAATGCGGATGTCTGGAGGGCACACGGCGACCCATGCTTCATTGACAAGATTAGCGCGGTGGCCGGGTTGCTCCCGACGTACTTGTCAATCATGCACGATCACCTCCTCATTCCTATCTGCACCTTCTCATTTGTGTCCCTCACCAATTAACTTGCGCGTGCTCATTACCCCCCCTATAAACCCCTTTTGGGCGCATTATCATTGTCTTTCCTATATTATTCCTCCCGTGTCCCTCATCATTTCGCTCCCTCTTCTTCTTGGCACCCTCTATAATGAGATTATTTAGCTATATATCCCCATATGTACATCACGACATGTTATAAACTTCCGAGCACATCATGCTCATTCATCTCGAGCCTTTCCTTTCGACCGCTCCTTCACTTTTCTAATGGCCATGCCCATAAAACATATTTAATTTAACTATACTGGCCATTAGGCCATGTCTCATTATCTTGTCCTTTTATGTCTGGGACCTGGAGCCAGCCTCCGAGAGGATGCGGGTAAACTCTAAACTGGGACCTCTATACTGTCCGTCCATATCAAATTGAAGTCTAATTATAAGTTTCGTACCAGAGCATTGAACATCTTATTCGGATTAAAGTATACATGTGACAATAAATGATGCTAAAATTTAATCAAATGTATAGCACTCCAGCTTTGTCAACTAAAGGAATCACAGGCACTTGCAATCAGTACCACTTAGGTATTATAGGTCAATATCGAAAACCAAGTACTCTGTTTAATATAATGGCCCACAGGATCACACACACACCGGATATGTAATTGGCCGCAGTCCCGGTTTGAGGTGAATATAATTCTATATTTGGGGCGGGGGGACGGGCGAAAGCCAAGCAGCGCACAACGTTTGGGTTCTCTCGTGTCAAAGTTGTACGAAAAAGAGTGGCTTCTTTAAATACAGGAAAGCGGCTTTTATGTGGAAAATGAGATCAAAGGCTGCTTAGCACAGTGTCGAAAGCTATATGAAACTGCAGAATTTCTGGGTCGGTAGTGATCAGACCTCCACTAATTACTCATAAAGAGATGAGACATTATATAGTCAATTTTATGGAATTAATATCACAACTTCGTAATCAGTTTTAGCGTTTAGCTAGCCGTGCTTTACAAATGATAGTGTCCCACCATCCTCCAGGGCCAACCGAACTTGAAATTCTATATATCACCATGGGAATTCCGTCCCCGGGGGACCCCTAAATATACGATGCATGGAGACCATAAAATTGGCCTTTTATTGACAATAACGTTGTTCGGGGATTATATTAATTCGTTTTAACTTATGCGTGGCCGAAACTATTAGGATTCGGTCCCATACACATTTTGACATTTCATTGATCAATAGGAAGAAATTAATCTATGCACGAGGCTGCGGCGCTCTACTTGCCCTGGAGCTTGCTTAATATTTCTTTCTCCTCACTTCATTGCAGAGGAGAATATCTCCCACATGCACGAACGACATTGTACATATATAAATACGTACCCATTCAGTTTTTTCCTTGGTCCTTGGACATAATGATAGTTCTTGGGAATAAAGTCCATTTCAGTAGCTATTCGCGCAAGCATGTACAAAATATGCTCGCCGACAAAAGAATCCATATCCACAGTCGAAGGAGGAAATCAATTCCAATTGTTCATAAATGGCTCCTGTGGTTGATTAAAATAAACATTACCCGCATTGGAACCGTTACTAATTTTTCTTTGAATGTGTTAGTGGAGAGCCACGACAAGAGGAATGGATTTAGTGATTTGTTTGGACATCTCTCCTTTCATTAATAATAATTAACACGCAACTCTTTTTCATGTATAGTGGTGGGCGCGAGAGGGTTGAGGATTACAATTAAAAGATATATGGCACCCACCTGTCAATTCCATACTGTTCTCCAGTTAGATTTTTTATAACTATGTTTATTGTTTAAGTGTAATCTACTCACCAAAATAATTTACACCATTTAATTAAACATTTTACATATTTATTAATATTCATTTTCTCAATTTTAGATGTGAGATTTCTTTTATTTCTCTTAACACTCCCACACATCAATATCGTATTTTCTCTTATAGCACACATGATTTTGCTCAAGCTCTTTTAATTTCTACGTTATTAGTTTTGTACCTGTTAATTAATTAATATAATATAATTAAAGCGTGCATATATGTGTGTGTGTGTTAGAAAGCCTTTAACCCTTGAATGATCGGGGGCGAGAAGAGAAAACCCATATAAAAAGAGATGATGGAGGGATTAAACGAGGAGGAAAGGTGGGGGAAATGTAAATAAGAACAGAATACAAATAGAAACTTGAGAAAGGCACAAAGCAATGTCTAGGGAAGGGCCGACCCAGCAGGTGTTAGTGGCAGACAAGCAAAACGTTACCCACTTGCCCTTTTTTAGCATCCTTCTGATAAAGACTGCTCTTGCCTTTCATTTTTAGCCTTTCTATTCTAATTTCCCCACTTTCTCATTTATCTCTTCCTCTAATTACCCTCATTGCTTCTCCCATGCCACTCTACAAACGCCTGCTTTCTTTCCTTGTTACTCACCCAGTCTGGCGAATAAGATAATAGCCTGATATGATGATTGTCGAAAGCTAGGTTAGGTATGGCGAAGGCGATGATGTGATGTGATGGCTTTGAAGATAGATAATGCTTCTAATGCGAATTGAAGTGGTAACAATTTTTATTATGATGGCTAGTATACAATCGCAGCGGCACGAGCTACTAATTGACATTCATGATGACGCATTCAAACCCATTGACCTGAATCCCTATTTTAATTTGTCCCGTAAAAAAGCAAGAGATCATTTGGAGGAAATGAAATTATGACTATACATACATGTATGCATGCATGTATGTATGTATATAGAGCACGGATAATCAACGGGGTTCAGGGATGTTGCGCACATATGACATGCTGTTGTGCATGGAGAGATTATCTATCACTAGCAAGTTAGCCTCAGCCATTTTGTCGTCTTCTGGTCCAGCTATTTCATATTTAAGTGATTATCTATCAATTCTCCGTGAATCAAAGGTTATCGACCCCTTCTTGTTTGTTTTTTCCGCTCATTTTTGTCGTATTGTATCATCTGCATATTCGCTTTTCTTTCTCCACTTCCCATATTTCCCAGTTTCTGTGTGTCCCTGGCTTGTGACGGTATAAGATCAATTTTATATAATTTATAGTTTTATACTTATATATAGGTATGTGCCTTCGCTGGGTGGAATTTCGTTTCTAAGTATTTACTTGGATTTCGTAAAATTTTCTGTTCCAAGGCAGATACAGATTAGATGGTGTCCCGAATCAAAGATGGTGGCCCTATGCACTGGCTCGTACTCTATTTATCTTGCCTGATTTCCCTTTCGAAGAAGAAAATTTTCTAGTTAATCAGCATGATATTAATTTGATTAGATGGTGGGAAAACGATTTTTATTTTTTAATTAGTATTTAATGATTAATGTATGGACTGAGTGGAAATAATTTTAAAGCCTCCACGAAATCAATCATAATCTAGCCCGCCCCTCTTAATCATAGATCACCGCATTCACATATCCACTATCGAGGCAGTGGATCACTATTACCCACCAATTTTATAATGACATCACTTGCTATGCCACGATAACGTTTTTAAGTTTCGAAAAATAAAACCAAAAATTAAATTAAGGGTTCTCTTCATTTAATATCCAGCAAGGATTAAATACAAAATTATTGAAAATACAAAAACAAAAAAAACCTAGAAAGTCGTGACGGATCTTCTACAATTTCAAAGGTTGGCTTATTAATGCGCCTAACAACATTATTTACCATGATACCTTTGTTTACTTTAAATATATCACATATTAAGGTTCTTAATTTCCATTATAGCGCTCAAAATTAATTTGCTTTCACCTTTTGTAATGTCTTAATAATTAAGAAGGGAGCGGAGATAGTGTCATATACATAAACTAATATCATATATATGGGCAAAAGTGCGAAACTGCGTTCAGTGCGGGTAGGACATTCATGAATACTATTGTCTTTATAAATTAAAGAAAGCAAAATTAATTTGCTCCTGTAGAAAAATCAAGATGCATAAGGCCCTCCCGGTTGAAACTGAAGAGATACAATTTTTTTAACGTGATCATCGATTTTTTTTTAATTAATTTCTGTGCAAAAATATATGTGATATTTCACCATTAAATTTTTTGTTTACTTCTTTTCATTTTCTATTACATTTTTATATGATTTGATAAAATCTAGTAATTATTATTTTTAGAACTCATTCGGAAAGCAGGATTAAATCTCTTAAAAATGTTGAAATATATAAAAGATTGCACCCGATTATAAACTACCCAAAACCAAGATAAAAAATCAAAATGGTACGATCACATCATAATATATATGGGAAGGCTAGCTCGATCGATTCATGATGCAGTTTTTTTGCCCCCGCTTTTTGAAAGTATGATCGTCGTCTGGCATGTACGTGGAGTTCACACTAACTAGCATCGCAGGTTGAGAATTAAATTGATGATGGAAAGTGCGGTGTGTTTTTGAATTTGAGGATGGTGTTACTAGATGTGGGAAAGAAGATGGAGACGTGTATGGATGAATATAATGGAAGCAGCTTTAATAACGAAGAATATTCCGGGCTAAACTCGATGGGTGATTTGAATTTTTATACTTTTGCAGATCAGTGAAGGGACCATTCAATGCGTGTGTGGGCGTGGGCGTGGGCATGAGCATGTGGATTCTTCGCATCTAAAAGTAAACTGACGAATCATGAAACCCGGGAACAAGCTAAAGCATTCCAGCCCATGCATTCACATGTCCACATATGCTAAGCCAACATCACATCCCTCACGGACAAGTGTGTCTATCTAATGTGCGTTAGTGTTAATCTTAATTACACGCAATCGAAACAAATTATTCAACTCAAATAATTAAAATGAACAGTGTTACGAGTATTTATGTCAATTCTACATATATCTTGACGCCTAACACGGATGAAATGCATGCATACTATCAGTAGGGTTATGAAATAAGCAAGCTAAATAAACACACACATATATATACATATGGTGCAGAGAGATAATGGAGTAGAGATAATGGAGTAGAGGACGATAATGGAGTGCGAGATGTGGTTGGATACGAGACCGAACCATATGTCCAAGCATGCGGGAAGCTTCTTCCATTCATTTAGGTTTGATGGTACCCACTTTCATATACATTTCCCACATCTGCCCATTCCTGTCTATTTCTGCTCACCTCACGTAGCTTCAATTCTTCACTCTCTCTCTTACCACTATGTAATATATATTTGGTACTATCATATTGTATCCTAGCATTATCTTTGCATAATTAATTAAGAGTAATCCTTTCAATGTGGTTCCCTTCACTTATAATATTCAACTCTCCAACCTTAATTAAGAAAAAATAATTTTTTTTAACTCAACACAACCACAGTGTTGTTGGTTCTACTTAGATTTCTTCATCCACTTCCATGCACATCTAACTAGGTGAAAAATGAGCGAGTTTGACAGGATCTCATAAGTTTGCTCGTCTTTGTGCAAGGTTTTTAAACCTGAGTTCCAAAGCTTTTTGCCCCCAATTTCTCAAGGCTAGTTCTATGTAAAATGTGGAGAAAACAAGTTCAGTTCCAATTTCTGACACTAACTTTGAGGGAATATCACCTCGCCAATATTCTCTTATTATTTTTCATTTCTCGAATGAAACGTCTCATACCATTTAATCGGATAGCCACTATTACTATAAGTACTCCGGGGATTTCAATTTCACCTGCGAGGCCAACTTCAAAATGAATAAATCAATCACCTATTCAATAAAATAATGGCATTAATTAGTAATTAACCCATAGACATGTGCATGTAGCGATAATTAATTTACTGGTATTTCCTCAAGCGGTGACACAAGTTCCCCGGCCTGTCGATTTCAAAGAACATCGCCATGAACGTACGCGCAGTAAACCAATTCGAATCAGAAGTTACAACGCACCAGGAATTGTATTGACCGAATGGGGGCAGGCTTCTAATCTAGATTATAGTTTTACAAAGGTCGTAAAAGATGTCATGCAAAGCACCGTACAGAAACCAAGAATGAAAAAGGAAAGGTGTCACTAAAAGGCGACGTATGTAACTAAAAAGAATATATATATATATATATATATCTAGCTAGAGAGAGGCTGGGAGAGATGAATAAAGCAAGCAGAAGAAAGGTGAGAGAGAAAAGGATGGCGAAACTTTGGATTGTGAATATTGTCCCCCAATATTCCAAAGCAGTCCACATCAAAATCAAACCCCCCAACCCTTCTTGTATGGGAGGGTCCCTTTTTCCACTATATTCGTCTTCTCAACATCATTGTTCTTCCCTTCATTCCATCTCAATGCCCCTCTCTTTTCTATCCTTGTATAGTCAATCCCACAACTTTAGGTGTAATAACAAATCGTAAAGTCTTAAAAAGCTACAAACTTCTTCATATGTACACTCCAAGCAACTTGCCCGCATACCAAACACTCCACATCCATCCTTGCTGACAATTGATCACTCGCACAACAAGAATTGAGGTGTGAACACTCTAGTTTATTAAATTTCTTGTGTTGGTGAACAGCCAAGGCAAGCTAAGTGTTGGGTAAAAAGGTTGAAGGTGTTCATTTTTTAACCAATATAATGCCCCTTCGCTTTCTCTTCCTCGTTCTTTTGATGAATGATTTGGAATCCGAGGACGTTAAAATCAACTATAAAATTTAACAACATATAAATAACCATTTTATAGATGATTAGCTACAAAGCATATGATTTTACATTCAATTTTACCGACCGAGCAAGGAGAATTCATTCCAAAAAAGGAAAGGACAAACAAAAGAAAATCTCAGAAGATTCATCCGGCCGGGGACTCCTATTGAATCGTTTAATTTCCCTATTCCTCCTGCAGTAGCTTTCCCCGAGCTTCCATGGACAATCATCCATCACATGCTTCATAGTCCCAACAAGATGTAGTAGACGAGAGTTATGGGCAGCGCAATTAACATCCCGAAAATAACTCTGCAGTGAAGTCCATGAACTCCATCTGATTAGAATTAATGAATGGAATTGAATGGAGAAGGCAGCGGACTCGTTAGGAACCGAAACATGAACAGAGGATTTATTTATATAGTTATACTCACGCTGTGCTGAGAATGTCAGGGTGCACATTGTACTCCTTGGCAAAGACAAAGGGGACAATTCCTTGAGGCAGGGCTGCCTGTTGTTTTGGTCAAATAGATTCCAAACACAGAGGTCAGCTATAGTTTGAAATGTTTTTGGGGCAGGACTAAAAAGTAAGCAATAAGCGAGTAATATTACAGGATTATCTCGGGAGGGGGGAGGGCACATGCACGTATATTTTAAAATTTTTGAGATTAAAGGAGTGGAAGGGGCAGAGGAGAGAGAAAGACAAGAACCTGAACAATAGCAACGTGTAAGAGGACGCCCCTGAGGCCAACAACAATGGAAGCGGCTGCCATGACAGCTGGACCGGTAAGGAATCTCACGGCCATAGCAAAAGCTGCAGTCGAATTCCCACATGCTATGATCCTCGGTTGCAAAGCCATGAACAGACCTGTCAACCCAAAAAAAAAAAAAAGGCATTCATTGCATTAGGCATGCCTCGCCCCATCACTGCTTCTCACACTTCTTTTTTCATTATCACTCCCACATTCATAAAGTATTATCACCCTGTTTCATGACCCGTTGCTTTTTCGCCTCCTTCTTATGCCTGCTTTCTCTTCCACATTATGTTGTTTATTAATTAATTATAATAATTGAGGTTCACATAACATGGAATCCGAAAAGATTTCCTCTTTTCCCTTTTTTTAAGCAACCAAGGGTTTGAATTGAACAGTGTCTTCATCTTTTTTTTTTTTGTTTCCCCAAGGGGAAAAAAAATTGCGCCTAGTTCAAGGACTTGATGTTCAGTAAGACGGAGGATGTTTATACTGACCCAGACTGAACATGGCCATGCCTAGCCCTGCATCTGACAAAATGGAAATAGACTTTGCTATAATAGCAGGCATTTCAACGTTCCACCTGCAACGGACACCCGACCAGCCAAAATCAATCAGAATCGATATTAAACAAGTTAAGAGTAAATTAAACGGACAAAATGTGCTAGATTATGCCGAGATTTCCCCCGACTTATCCGAGAAAGGAAATGACGTCGTACTTGAATGAAACGAGAGACCAAGTAAGGCCGAATAAGCTAGAGTACGTGTTGGGGTTCCTGATAAGTTTTCTCCACACCATTATCAATATAAGCCTCGTCATCACGCTTGCTGGAGGCATAGTTTTAGACTTGTCTCCAACTTTCTCACCTTCGTGGTGATTCATTTCCCTGTCTGCTCCTCTGTTTCCAAAGCTGAACTCATCCTTCTCCAGATAGTCCTCTTGAGCCTCTCTGTGACCCTCCACTAATTAATCATCGAACAACACGAGAAACCAAAACCCAATTAATAAAGAAAACAAGTTGAGGTCCAAAACAGAACTAGAACGGTTCAGAGAGGAAAATGATAAATAAAAAAAATGATAAAAATAGAACCTTTGCCTGGAGATACTGTCAATTTCACGTCTTTCTGCTCATGAGCTCCATACTCATGGCCCCCAAAGACATCTGATACTGGGGAAGCACTTGAACTCCAGACGAACATATGAAGGTCCCTCGTCCCATCCTCCGGCTTCTGCTGCGCTTGACCATTAGGCCTCTTGGCATTAGCATTTGCAGCAAGATTCTTGGACGCAGTAGGCGAGAACATTCCTGGGTTTGGTGCCGGGTAATGCCCTGCTCCTCCAGGCCCAGCATGGTAGTGGAACCTGGGCTTACCACCCCCGGAACCATCTTCCTCGTAATTAGAAGGCCTTGGCGTTGGCCCTCTTGACGCCGACATACCATACACATCTGAGGCACCAAAATTTGAATTTCGACCACCAGCCATCATAGAATAGAAATCTGTGTGGTTGAAACTGGAGCCTCGCGGTGTGGGATTTCGAGAGGATTGGAGAGAGTATATCTCTGCGTTAGTAAGATTTGAAGGGCGAGGGGTCGTGGAAGAAAGCCCCTGAGACCTTCTTGAAAAGATATCTGATCTCGAAGCATTGGATTTCCTCACAGTCACATGAAGCTTTCCATCTTCTTTGATTTCAGCTTCGGTTTCTAATGGCTGCCTTCCATCTAAGGACATGACATCGGAGTCAACATGGATGGAAACAATGGAGCCAGCGGTGTCCGGGAATTGCTCGGAGATCAGCATTCTGGCTCCTCTAAACTCAAACATGAACAGCATCAGGGTGTACCAAATGATGCACTGAAGGACCACTATTTGGACCATCAGACTTCCGGAGAACTCACCGTACATGCCTTTAAGCAAAGGGATACCCATAACCAAAGTGTTCGGGAGGGTGGAGAGCGAGAACAGTGTTATGGTCCATTCCAAGCAGCCCCTCTTGCTCACGTTGGCCCAGACAGCAAGAATGACTAGAACGATGACCTTTTGAAGGGTATCGGCAGCAATGAAGCGAAAGTTCATTTCGTAGGGATTGTTAGAGGCGATGAAGTGGAAAGAGAGGAGAGGAACTGCGAACAGGGCAACGAAACGATTGATACCGGAACACTGATCGGGAGAGAAGATCTTCCACCATTTCACGGAGCCGTAGGCCAATATCATGGCCACGTAAAGCGGCACCATTGCGGTCATAACATGGTAGAAGTCCAACCAAGTGATCATCTTGGGCGGACAACGGGGATCAGAAAATGGTCTAGGGATGGAGACGGAGAGCAAGGAGGTGAGAGGAACTGGAGAAGGGAAGCAGAAGAAGGAGAAGAATGCTGGAGCAAGGATGGTGAGGGAGGTGGGGGTGATGATGAAAAGAGATGGGGATGCGAGAGAGCATGTGTTCTGGTTTATTGGGTAGTGGGTAATAAGCAGAATACAGCAAATATTTTTTCAGCTTTGAGAGATGCGAGCAAGTTTGCGCTTGCAGTCCCCAAAGCACAACGCAGAGAGAGGGAAGGGGGGGGGGTTCGCTTTTTTATTTTGGCTCATTTTTGTACTCTTGCTTTTTGTTTTGAGCTGTGTTTGATTTGGGGCTCAGCAGGGCGTGGTGGGTGTTCGATTACACTCGGGAACTTAGCGAGTGGCTCTATCTTCTGTGGGACTAGATTTGTCACATAAAGCGTAGAAAAAGCATTTAGTTGGAGCTGGGCATGTCTCCAATACCTCTTTACATCTTGAAGCTACGTAAAGAGCGCCCTCTGCTTTTCTTCTTGTAGAGATAGAGTAACTGACGGTCACAGAAAATAAAGTTTATACCACAGCAATATTGCTGGTCGTGAGCTGCTGAGGAGGTAATATTTCTCTTTCCCAACAGCCAATAGAAAGGAGGGAAAAGGGTGGCGGGTGTGAATAGAAGTGAGGTGACATGAAAAAGAGATGGCACGCCGAAACAAAGGGAAGGGGCAAGGAGGGTAAGAGGGGGATCACGTGGCCCTAATTGTCGTTTGCCAACCATATCTATCTAATTCTAATTCTGGGGGGTTTTACCACTTCCAAGTGCTTGGGGGTTCGTTTAGTTTAGTTAGGTGAGATTACAAAGTCCAGTACCTCCGCAGTCCCTGGGTTTAATGCATGCATCTGTTGCTTTCATTCTAGATTCTACATGATAGTTCTTTTCCCCCTCTTCCGTTCTCCCTTCCCCTCCCAATCATATTTCTCTCAAGCCATTGCGTCCTCTGCAAATTTGACTAGAGGAAAACACGTACCAGGCACCGCTGTATGTACGCCTATATATATTAACAAGATTATTTACATCTTAATTTAATTGATCCTGATATTGACAATCATGTGGATTTTAAAAATCTACCTGATCTCTCACTCTAACCCCCACCCCCCAAAATTACCAGAGTTTTGTAGATATCGGTTTTGATTAATGTTTAACACTCTTACTACTAAAAAATAACCAATATAATTTGCTGAACAAGTTGTAAAACATAACTAAAATTGGGCCTAGCTATGTCTTTGGCAACTATTTAATGATTATTTAAAAAAGGCTGTTATATAATTAATTGAAAGGTTTATGGGTTATGAACTACTGGATATAAACACAAATACTGTGTATAAACACAAAATATATAGTGGTTAACAATTATTATACATTGAAAAAAAATAAGTGTCATAGAAAGACTATTTTTTAATAGTGTTTTGTATACCAAAATTCTTGGGATGCTCTGACCAGCACCCTTCACTTGCTACAAACTAGGTCTTAGACTTTTATGGTCCATTTGGTTCGATGTAGTGCGGAGAAATTACTTGTAATCCCGATGCATCACATGATTCCAACTGTTTCGTTGGCACTAGGCAAGTTAAAGAGGGTTACGTTAGTTGAAGGAGATTACATCATACGTTATAAAGAGAATTACATCAATAAATCTATATAATATCTATTACAATCATCTTTTATAACATACTAAACAAACATATATAATCCTTATTACATTTCATTTCATTCTTTAGCATTACATTCCTTTTGATTCTTTAAACCAAATAGGCTATTAGTTATTGATTTAAGATTCAAGATCCTACATGTTCGTAGACACATGCTTCATAGCAATGATACAAATGGTAAATTATGAATTTATGTAGTGCTTCATTAGTAAGAATTATAAGGATGAAGAGTGTGTGCCTGTGAACAATGATTGCAATAATGAACCTATCAAAACATGCTTAAGATGATATTATATGGGGAAAATATATTTGTAAATTTTCAAAGTACTTAAAACTAGACCAATTATTGAATCAGTAAAGACACAAAGTCATGGGTTAATGGTTCAACCGGGGTTGAATTGGGGGTCAAATTGATCATAATTAAAATAATATAATTTAAATAAAAAGATATTAATTATAAAAACATTTAACCAAATCCAAGATTAATCTCTAATGCAAGGTATCAATACAACAATAATTATAAAAATAGTTTTAGCCACAGACTTTAAGGAGTTAAATTTAAAGTAACTTGACTATAGAAAACTTAAGCATTGAATGAACTGAGGCTAGATAAAAGCTTCCCTCTCCATAAACATGAATTAAAAAATGCAGAGGAGGAAGAGCAATTAGAAAACTAATGAGTTTTGCTTTAGAGGAGGAGGAGATTCACAGAGAGAGAGAGAGAGAGAGAGAGAGAGAGAGAGAGGAGAGTGATGTCAAAGGAGGAGATTTGCTTCATGACATGTTCTGCTTCACAAGTTTTGCACTTCTACAACACAATGAGAGATAGAATTTGTAACATCTCAATTTAAATTTTAATAGTTAATTTGGGTTAATAAAAATTTTGAAAAATATTTAGAGGTAAGCAAATTAATAGGAGATGATTATTAAATCTAACTTAGGATATAATTATAAATTAAAATTTAAAAAAAATTAATTAAAAAATTATTATTATTAATTAATTAATTAAAAAATTATTAAATTATTATTATAAAAAAAAGGTATGCAAAAAAAAAGGAAGAAGAAGAAGAACAAAATTGCTTTCGGCCGCCCACAACAATCATTATATATAATAATAATATAAAAAAAAGGGGAGAGAGAGAAAAGAAGAAATAATAAAAAAAATGTGGGACCCACTGAATTTTTATAAAAACCCACCTGTTGCTTTGTTTTTTTCATTCATTCCTTCGTGTGTGCTGAGGCAGAGAGAACGCGAGTCGCCGGTGCGAAATATCTAAATTTTTAAGGTAAGAGTTTTTAATAGGATATTTAGGGTGTGATTTTAAGCTTTTCAAGACTAAGTAAGTGTTCTAAAAATTTTTCTTAGCCATCCTTCTTCTTCAATTTCTGAGTTTGTAGAGGTAGAAAATTTAAGATCTGGAAGAGGGATGAATTTATGTTGAATAAATATGATTTTTGAGGTTGTCAGTAGTATAATAAATGTTCTAGAGTATAAATTTATTGATGATCTTTAAATTTATGGCTTATGGATCAAATTCTAAACTAGATCTGAAAATATATGTTGATTTATTGAGGTTTGGATGATTATTTGGGATGAGAAATGAATTATTATGACTATAGGATTATGATTCTAAGCTAGAGACTCAATTTTTAATTTTTGGGTATTTTAGGTGCGAATTTATAAAATAAAAAGAAAATTTTGATAATAGAAATTAGTTTAAAATTTGATTTTTAGATTATTAATGTTTATTGATAATTAAAAGAGGAGTTAAAAATTTTACTTAATAGTATTAACTATAGATTTGTATTAAGATTGAGATTAAAAATTATGTTATATTTTTAATTCTATTATTAAAATTATTTTATTAGTTTCAAAAATTGAAACTAATATTTATAAATAATATGTTATTTGTAGATTGTATTACTAGTGAAGATTGTGGTAAGAGAGAAATTTTAAGGAATAATTTATTGAAAGAGTCACAAGGTAACCATGCTTTTAATTTGTGATTAGTATTACTTCATGTTAATTGGGTGATTATTGAGAAAATTATGAATTTTATAATATTGTATAACTGTGCAATATTATTATGAATTTGTTTGATTATTGTAGGAGGTGTTGGGAGACTTGCTATTGTTGTTGTATTTATGTGCCACGTGGTACGCCCCTATTGGAGCTCAATATGTGGCTTGTAAGGGCTCAGGCTAATCTACCTTTGGCCGGGTAATTTAGCACCGAGTGAGGGCTACAGCTCGAGGTTAATGGAGAGATATAAGGATGGTTGTTTGTGTGTATTGTAATATTTCTTATATTTGTTGGAATTATATTATTTTTAATTCTCACTTAGTAAGCACACACTTAACTGTTTGTATACACTATCATAAATTGGCTTTGGTTACTGGGACTTTTGAGTCTCATTATATGGTTAACAATTTTTAGGAGAAGATCCACGAGTGACATGTGGAGGAGTCCCAGAGGCTTAGTGGTATAAATCCACTGTCTCTTTTGGGTATTTAATTTATGATTTATAATGTGTTATATTGCCAATATTAGGGCTTTTTGTTTATTGTCAATTATATGAATATATAAATGTAATCATGCCTTTCAAACTATTTCTATTTTTGGTACAATTTGGATGACTGTAATTTTAATATTTGGTTTACTTTGGATTGGTTAAAATGGCATGATTATAAGGTCAAATAACTGCCTTATGTTGAAAATTGACTAAATTGCTTATTTTACTTGTTGGGAGTATAAGGATGGACAAATGTGATTTAGTTTACTTGTTGGGAGTATAAGGATGGACAAATGTGATTTAGCCTAATGGCATGTGGGAGGTAAAAATTTATCTGAAATGTTATAATGTATAAGTTGAAGCCAATTATAAAATATTTTATATTAAAATTATTGATAAAATATTTTATATTAAAATTATTGATATAAAAATGTGTTGGGTGGCTGTAACTCAACTATAGTTGAGTTAAATTATTTAAAAAAAAATTTGGTGTGTTGCAAAATTCAACCCAGGAGAGTGAGGAGAACAACAACGATAAAGTGGGCAGTGACAACAACCAAAAAGTGTGGTTTGACTTGAGCTAAGACTGAGTTCGAACATAGAGAGGGTAGGTGACTTCGAAGGTCCTTTGATTTGTAATTGATATCTAATTCAAGCTAAGCTAAGCTAATTACCTTGTGCCTTTTTTTTTTATTTTTTTAAATCCAAAACATCATCATTTTGGGGTTTCTAAAGGCAAAATGGCCAACCCAATTAACCTAGCTAACCCATTGGGTTATTTGATTTACACTGGATTGAACCCATGTTGGCTGGGTTACACCGGGTCATCTGCTTATTGGGTTAGCATGAAAACTGAACTGATGGAGTGGCCAGTTCATTGATTTTTGGGTTGTCCCATTCAATTCGATCTGGTTTTTCATGCAATGCAAATTTCTATAGTTTCTCTCAATTTTAAATAAGTTCCTATAACTTATTTTGCTTTAATTGAGCCTTTATAATTTAATCAATTAAATTTTTAATCCCTAAAAATTAAAATAATTGAATTTCCTTTTTTAAAAATAAAATTAAGAACCCTTATATTTTTATCACAAATTATATTTTTATTGAAAACAATGTTAGTGTTAAAGGATTGAGAAGGTATTTTATAAAATTAAGAATCAAAATGAAAACTCATGCAAAGTTAAAGATTAATAATAGACCTTTGCTTTCAAAATTTATATAATTATATTATTTTCTAAATAATTTCTATACATATAACTTTGTGTAAAAAATAGTAAAATTTAAAAATTGTATGAAATCTAATTTTCCTTTTTATTTTCTGCCCAAAAATATTAAATTAAATTTTCTATAAACTCTAAAAGTGTTTTTATTTTTAAAAATTTAATCATTCATTAATAAGTTTAATTTTTAAGGATTAACATATTTAATGGATCAAACTATAAGGATTTAGTTAAAACAAAAAACAAGAGCCTAATTCATAATTGAAGGAAAGTACAAGGACCTGTAGATTAATTTTTCTTATTATATAATTATGAACATTTTAATAATTATTAATAATAGATAATTAAATACCGGGTGTTTTCTATCACATAAAATAGACAATTAGACAGCATTCGTTTAAGTATTAGAGTGAGAGAGTCTGGCCACGAAAAGGAAAGTTCGAGTATTTGAATACTGCTAATCAAGATCATTTCTTATGTGATTCAGAATGAAATTAAAAAGAGAATAAAATGAAAATATGATTTAAATATTTTAACTACTTCGTATTGTAACCATAAAAGCAACTTGCTAATCTATAAAGTATATTGTGGCCAAAAAAAAAATTATCAAGTACATGCATCCTTCTAATATTGAATAATAATGGATCATGGGCATAATCAACGATTTAAAAATTCATGCCCGGGGTAGAGAGAGAGGCGAGGACGGAGGAGGAGCATATGGAAATTTGATAATACTGACACGGGGATAAATAATAAGAAGAGGAACAGCAAAGAAAAAGCAAAAGAGTTCTGAGACTGATTCAGAACAGTGCTAGTTGAACAGTTTCGAAGTGCGAACCGAATACAACATTAGCACAGTCCAAATGACTTTCTGAGGATGCATATGACTCGGCGTTATAATGACCAGAACCAGATAGCATGCTCGCATCATGCAAAGCGATCGAGATAATATAATTTTTTTTTTTAAATCATGTATTGATATTAATTATACAGTATGCTAGGAGGGAATTGACAGTAGTGGTTGAGATATAGTGGAAGAGTAAAATGGAGGGAGGCATTTAATTTGTTAAAGGATACGCGTAAGTACGAAAAGAGATGAAGGGGGAATATATGTCTGAGGCATCATGATCGTGTTCCTGCTAATCCTGCCTCACCTTTCGTGAAAGCATCATCATGGTAAAATCTTACATTACTCATCACCCGAATATTTACTCACCTCACTCATGGTCCTTTCTTATTTCCCTCTTGCCTATTTCTTTTCTATTTTCAACAGAAAGCGAGTCACGTAGAGAGATAAAAGAGCAACAAAGCTAGCTGTTAAAAAAAACAGAGAGAGAATGTTACTGAAAAGCGTCCAACCTTTCGTCCACTTTTCCTGTGTGCCTAAAACAATTATTAATTAGGTTACAAAAGACCATAATTAACAAGCCAATGAGCATCTCTCTTTTGATGACATATACGGACTTGGATCTATCTTTGACCTTTTAATTATAACTCTTAATTAGCAGACAGGCACGGGTGAATTTATATGGCTAATTTAAAATTACAAGCTAGAGCTGTTGGTCGTTCATTCACGAAGCATTCCAGGTCCAGAATCGCAGCAACTAATGGATGGTGAGGTGATTAAAAAAGTGTCCTGGAAGTGAAAACCGAAGCACGCTTTGGAGTTATCGGCGAAGATGAGATGGTAACGGTGATTGGCGTGTCAGTCATACAACTCTTAGACAATTCAAAACGCCAAACACCAGGCTTAGCTGCACGCTCTGCTATGGGTTTTGGTGTTTCCTATGAGCATGAATGGAATTCATGCATCCATTTTATTTATCAATTTTTGTGATACGTTTGTTTTCATCTCAAGACTTGCTCGTCTTATTCGCCTCCCCCTGCTCCTTGAATGAATATATGTTATCTCTCGGCTTCACAAAACTGAACAAATTTCGAGCCATCCCATATTTTAATGTGTTCATTAAAAACGGGGTGGCTATTGTCTAACACGCACGCACCACGACTTATGTTTTGAGATTGGAAGATAATATAGTATATGCATGCATATGATCAGTCTGCAATTTTGGACATACAATACAGCAACACTGAGACATTCCGGTGCGCGCGTATCTGACCAAATACGTGAAAGCTTGAAAACAAAATTTAGACTCAGAGAGACCAACAATATAGCGTCACTGAAGCTAGATGTTGGAATTCTACAAGTCAGCGTCGCTTTGAGATTAGATATAAGACGTGGGAAAAGAGAGTAGATAAATTGGGGTTCAATGGATAAGGTAGGAAATAACCTTTTATTTGTTTATTTTTTGAAGGAAGATGAGAGATTAAGATATAGAGGTAGCTCTTAGAAGGTACTTTCTTTAGCAAAGTTACGCAATTGCGTTGGTTTTGTTGATTCAGAAAGCAAGTTGGCCTGTTGGGGGAACGGAGCATATTTGTGTGGATTCACATCCAATTTCAAACACACTCCCCCATAGTTTGACCACCCTGGCTTTGGAGGAATTTAAAAGAACGATCATTAATTCCAACAGTTACGTTAAACAAAAAATTTGTCCACAGTATACCTTTTTTATCCTCGTGCCTTTTTTGTGGATAAAAATGTCCCCATACCTTGTTGCTAGTATTATTATTAGAAATAATGATAATTAAAAATCTTATAAAAATAAAATATTAATATAAAATAAAGATTATAGAGCTGTAAATTTTTAAAGTTTGAATCATAAAAGGTCTTTAATATCTTTCAATAATTTTTATTTGTCACTATCTCTCCTTATTATCAGTAATTGCCGCTCTGCTGTTGGATAGAACTGAATTTCATTGGATTTACATGACTTGATTCTCAAAGGATTATCATGAACAATACAGGCTTCAAGATTCGAAGAATGTTTAGAAAAATACTTCCGTATGAAAATACAGGGTTTAAGAGCAGGAGTCAGATTACTGCCCACTCGAATCCACGTCTGCTAGCATATATGGATGATATGTCAGCTAATGCCTAATTAAACTATTTTATCAAATTATCATTTTAATTTTCAACACGATTCCTCACGCACTATGCTTTTGATTCCGTTCCGTATCGGATTATTCTTTCATTTAATTTCTCATGTACGTGCAGTTTGAGTTTGATTCCTCGCAAAAAAAAAAAAAAGATTAATAACATATTCTTATCGAACCTAGAACTATTCTCACGCAAGAGATCTTCGTGAAGAAGTTAACTGAAGTTTGAAAATATATATACATGTCGGGAATTTAAAAAAAAAAAAAGGAATTCATTCATGAGAAACTAAGCGAAGAAGATAATTTTATCGTTAATACCTCAGCTTGAACGTATAAGTTCCCTTAATCCATTGATAAAGAATAAATCAATCAAAACAAATTCTATCCACCCAAAAAATATTTGCTCGTTATCCACCATTTGTCTAGAGAAGGAGTCATACATTGAGCAACAAAAACGCGTTTAAAAGCATGCAGAGCTCCATGCAGAGAAGGAAATTGATGGGGAGGGGGAAAACAGGGCAGAAAATAGATACAGGGACAAATAGCAGGGGACCGAGGAACAGAAAACAAAAGGTCTAGCCAGGGTACAAATCCGGAGGAAAATAGATAGCAATGAGTCCTAAAGAGAACGGGAAGTAGAAGGAATGCGGATCCATTCCAGCTGGATTTCTACTTCACCACATTCAACATTGCGCAATCTGAGCACCAAATCTTGCACAATCTTGCCCTCGCTGTACGTAATGCAGCTCTCATCCGCCAAACAGTTTTGCCTGCATGGGTTCACTCTTCTTATCACCGTCCCACTCGGCAGCCCTTCCAACTTCATATGCACCGCTTCTATAAACGGCCTTATCTCAAACTCCGCTTCGCCCATTTTGTCATCTTTGCTGAACGTGTCGTGGTCATACACCGTCTGCATCACATGTATTCATCATCATTCATGTTCCTTTTTCTTTCTTATTCTCATTCCTTCTCATTCCCTCGTTTACATCAACAGTAACTCGCACTAACTTACCAATTTTATTGGACGATCCGGTTCTGTTACTGAAAGCGTCAGGTCTTCGTTCCACTCAGGATTTACATCTTTCTTTATCACCCGGGTCTTTAGTCTCTGTAAAACCACAAATCTCTCGTGCTTATCAACAAAAACATTCACAGCGACCGCAACTGCTATGCATTTATTTGTACTTTCCTATTAATTTCTAGAATCTTCTCGTATCCCATTCAAACTCCAAGGAACGAGACCCAAGGTAAAAGAAATATAATATCTAGAAGGGCACATGAATGTTCTATGGAGATATATCAAGACTTGAACAAACATGAAACGAAGAGAACGGCAATCCTTGAAATCAACGGAAGGGCAAATTGAAACTGTGAATAGATGGTGCGATAAAAAGTTGTTGGCTGAACTTGATGCAATCAGTTCTCCAAAATCGAAACAGCCGAGCTATTGAATTATAACAGTTACAAATAACCAGATCGAGGAGGTTTTAAGTGAAATTTCCTAAAGGATGCACAATTTGTACTCGAGAAAGAGTATTCATAATCAATAATTGTATAAGGAGAAGAATAAACAGGAGAAGTAACCTGTTTGCCCATCTTGACGACGACGTAAGGATCGCTGCTACGAACATCACGAACGGCTAGGTTCACGCCGCGCTTGACTCGAATCCTTAGAAGGCCGATGAAGTTTTCCATGGGTGTCCGGAGAAATTCTGGTCTCCCCTACGCTCTCTCTACATTCAATTTTCCACTCGTTTCATCCCGTTCAATCTGTGTGTTTTGCTGAAACGAAATTGGCAACAATCCACGCTGAATCGATAAGGACAATAACTTTAAAAAAGGGCAATGCTGATATTAGGGGTTTGACGAGTGGGAAACTTGATTGACCTGTAAGGCTGTAACGTCGTGAGGGTGTGAAAGAAGAAACGGGAAAAGAGAACGATGAGCTTGAGGAACGCAGGGAGGATTTCCTCGCATACGTGACCGGGAGATCCGGTTAAATTGGATGCCGTTGGACGTTGACTTGTCCAGTCCGTGAATGACGCGATCTTGGACGTGGCCGATCTCCTCAGGCCAAATTATACGTCGTAGACTTCTCCCGAGCTTAAATTGACTTGTTCATTTCTGATTTCCTTCTTTAGTTTTATTTATAAAATTATTTTTAATATATTTTATTAACATCAACAAAAATTTTAACTTTTGCTATCGTTGCCTAAAAATTTAGTATGTTCTAAATTTTATCTTAACTAAATAAAAATTTCTCTCTTCAATATTCAATGAAGGATAAAAAGAGAAATTCATGATAAAAATTTAATTATATAATTTATAAATGAATAAGAAAATTATTTTTTTATTTTATAAATAAAATCGAAGAAAATGTTTCTCAATCCACTCTATTCTCATTGCTTAAACTATTTTTCAAGGTTTTTTTTCTTTCTTTCTTTTTCTCTTTTTAATATTTTCTTTCATCGTAAATATGCCTTTTCTGCCATTCTTTCTATCTAGTGCAACGGAGACCTCTCTCTGGTAACTTTACAGATGTTGTACGTTGTTTTAACTTTTTTCTTCTCTTTCTTCGCCCGATATTGTTGTCATTATTCGTGGATTAAATCGGGCGGTAAAAAAAGAAGATAGCCCAAAGGCCAATGGCCAATGGCCAAGGCCCTCCTAAGACCTAATATCCCAACGCAGGGTCCAATTCAACGGGTTCCCGCTCAACTGGCCTTTTTGATTTGCTTCGGTCGGGTGCTCCCTCTCAGTTTATGATCATGCTGCGATCACTGATGGTTAAATGTTATGGAACCCTGGGAAGCTCTTGACATCGACGATTCTGACCTCTCCTCTTTCCTCCGCCCTTGCAAACGCCCCCTCCTCGATTCTCCGCCCAAAGCCTCACATGCCGTCGCCGCCAATGCTTCGCAGCAGCTGCTAATTTTTCAACCCAATTCTCATTCCCCTGAAGCCCTAACCTCTTCCAATTCCCAATTTCTTTTTCCTCGAGCGAAGCCCACTGTTCTTCCGCATCGCCTCATTCCCGGTCCTGCCGGTGTTGTTCAGGCCGCAATGCAGCGCAGGGCTCTAGGTCGCCAGAGTTTATTGGAAGATGCTGCGGACTCCATTCCCACGCAAGAATTCATAAGGCGGGTTGTTGAAAATGGCGATAATAATGATCACGATTTTAACACCAATCCCTGGCACTGTGCTTTGGACTGGCTTCGTCGAGAAGGTTCTTCCCACATTTTCCCGCTAATTTGCCACTGATTCTGGAAAATCTATTCCAAGTCTCGTAAATGCTTGGTTAATTTCGATTTTCTTTTTCTTTCGGTATTTTTAGGCATGGTCGATCGTAATAGTGTGCCATTCGGTACACCTTTAAGCTCAATTAAGAAGCATATCAATATTGAACGAGTGGGCCAGGTATTGTTAATCACTCGGAAGATGATTTTATGTTATTCACTTGTATAAAATTGTGCCTGATAAAAAAGTTTATACGGTTTTTTTAAAAAATATTTAGTTGCTTGGAAACAACAGGTCATTGCCGTTATCAAATCCTGCGCTCCAAATGGTCTCGGGGATTTGGTGGTGACCTTAAAGGTATATGTGGAACTGTGGATGCGGCGCGCTCGACAATGCACTCGTGATTTGTCTCTCTGGTTCTTTCTCATGATAATGATATCTCAGGTACCTGAGTTTGAATTTCAGGATCCCTCTGGTACAATTGGTGCTAGTGTACATCGTAAAGTCTTCACTGAGGGAGAACTTGGGAATGATATAAAAGTTGGTTCGGTTTTGGTTCTCCAAAAGGTCTGTTGCTCATTTATTTGAATACAGAAAAATTGCGTCAACAAATGCTTCCTTGTCTTGCGTTGAATTTAGTTTTGTTTTCCTGGTGGCTACTTGGAGTCTCATATCCAGGTTTACTTGATTAAACCAACCTGTCATCTATTTCAGGTTGCGGTGTTTTCCCCCACTCGCTCCGTTTGTTATCTGAATATAACATTGTGCAACGTAGTCAAGGTATGGAATCATCTTCATGTTAGCACTTAACCCAATTTAATATAGAACCTTTAACTGCAAGCGACATTGTATAACATTTCATTTGAGATCTACCGTCCACTCTGACCTAAAAGACACCAGCAATAAGAATTCTCAAGCATTAGTCCTTCCCTGATTCGTTCTCTCTCCGGTTCTAAGCCACCTATAGTTGGAAACTTGGAATACATATGGAAGTATATGCATATGACTTAGGGCTGTCAATTTTGAAAGACCATCAACAGAACCTTGAAGCATGATTCATTCAGGGATTCAGCTGATCAACTAGAATTGCACAAAAGACTAGGAAAAATTTCTAATTAGGCATATCATCTTAACTGAGGGAGGAACAAACCTTCCATTTAGATCTGATGTGTTTGTGTATCATAGTTGGCAGCAATGGAGAGGGGTTAAGGCCTCGATCTTCTTGCATAAAATGAACTGTATTTCCTCCTAATCGGCTGAAAATGATCAGATGTGATCCATTCAGCGTTTAGAACTTCATAAAGATGGAAAGCAGTGGTTGATCTTATTTGAATGGGAAATGATAACAAATACTAATAGTCAAAGCACCCGAGCTAAAATAATGGGTCACGCTCGCAGCCCCAGAATCGTGGGTTTTCAGCTTGAAGTTTGGGGTTGGATCATTTCGGTTGTCTAATTAGGTCCTTAACACGGGGTGGGAGCAACTTTGAGGCAAATCATTGAGAACGAATCCTCGCCAAATCCTCAATCACTTCTTACTTTGAATGCAATAGTGAGATATATTTTTTCATTTATTTCCTTTCGATATGTAAATCTTATTTGGCGATGATTCGTTCTCAGTGAGATATTTCTCGACTGAGTTCTTGTTTGTTCGTTGATAAACTGTTTGTTCTTAACAGATCTTTTCAGAGGACAGTGAATCTCCGTCAGAAATATATCCGACAGCTTTAAGGCGCACTGCTCCTTCCATAGGTATTCATAAATATCAACCTGGATCACGTTCTTAGCTTCTCCCGCCGTGTTCCATTTATTCTGACGCCTTACTGTTTAACACTCGCATAATGCAAATTTGCTCATAAAGTAGCCTTCATAACAGGAAGCAGCGAAAAAATATCGATGCCGGACAATGCTTCGTCTCTGCCACGGGAAAGAACAGCGGGAAGTAATACTAGCCCCTCCCTACATTTGGGATTTATGGAGATGGAAGCTATTGATAAGCAAAAGGGAGATGATAAAGCTTCGAGAAGCATTGGGGGGAAACAAGATTCAGGAAGCAACCATTCTGAGTTTGTCAGTATTGCTGATCGTGCGGAAGCACTAGGTGGTGGTGAGCTTGAGATTGGAATGGAAAACCAATCAAACCCTTATCAACTGGGTGGGGACAGTCCAGCACGTAATGCTCAAAACAATGGTTCATCAGTATACTTGGCTGATACACCTGAATCTCATGGTCAGGAAACGGAGTTAATAAAACAGATGGAAAAGGATCGGGGGATCCTAATCCCGAAGAATTCAATCCCTCATTGGACAGAGGAACAGCTTGATGAGCTTTTAGCATTTGACTGACGTATTGATTTCTGTTTGTCAAAGTACATAAATAGTTGTTACGTATCTTTGATGGACCAATCCCAGTATTGCAAGGAAAACTTAAAAAAGAAAGAATGGAATTCTTTTCAGTTTTCATGAGATTACTAATGCTATGTTTGGTGTGCAGGGATTAACTTTGTTTGGCCAGCTGGTAGTGAAAGTGGAAAAGGAATCTTGAAACAAAGTAGGACTGTACAAATATCGAGTTGCACTGGGCTAGTGCTCAACCCCTGGTCTGAAATAGCACCAAGTGAAATTTTTTGGTCTGAAGACTAGTCCTGTCTGGAGAGGCCCGACACTAAGATCGGATTGGACTTGGTCTATCAGGTTACCAGATCAGTCCTCCCAGATAACCTCTCAAAAACTAACCCAAAAAAAGAAAGAATGCCATTGAAACAAATCTAATGGATGAAGGAGGGAGGAGGAAAAGATACAGAGCCCAAATGTCATAAAAGAGGATCCCAAGTCTAAATTGAAACCATGAAGCATAAGCACCCATTATTGGAGAAAGTCAAGAGCACCTAGATTTGCAACTTATAAGCAAACACCATGCCGTTGAGAGCAACATTTAAGCCAAGCAGAGAGTACTAAAAGAGTTCACAAGCTTGGTTTGATTTGATCTGGAGTTTGATTTGATTTTGAAAAAAAACCAGAGCAAATCAAACCGATTGGTTCACAATAGTTTAGAACCTATTCAGTTTTTTTCTCTAATCAATTTGGTTCGGTTTGATTTAAGTTTGTATCAAGTTTAAACTTTTTAATAAAATATTCTTTATAATTATTAATATATATTCATTTTATTAATAATTTTTAACTATTAGTTATTATTTCTAATGAAAAAATCTATTGAGCACAAAAGATTTTTTTTTAACAATTAATTAGCATATTTAACTATTAAAATCAATGTATTATCTTTAAAACACTTGATTATAAAGTTAAAAAATTATCTTAAACAATTACAAATGACATTTAGCTAATTGTAACTTATTTATACTAATGATTTACAAATAAATAAGCTTGAAAAAGGGAAAAAATTGATAAATTGATAAATATATATATATATATATATGATTTGGTTCAAGTTTCCAAAAGTAAAAACCTGAAAGAAACTAAATCAATTGGTTTTACCAAAAGAAAAACCAAACCAAACCTTATTTATAATTGATTTTGATTGGTTCACATTAATTTGGCTCGATTTGGTGTGGTGTGATCGATTTAAATTTGTTTTGAATACTCTTACAAAGTACAGCTAGAGAAAATGGCAGGTCAAGAGCTAGCGGCTAGGTTGACATCGACCAAGTTAAAGGGTAGAGGAGAGAAAGGGATAGGGTTAAAAGAAACCATGAACAATGTTGAGACAACGAAGTAGAGGTGAAGTGGAGAGCCATAATGACTACTGATTTAAACTTTAGAGATAGGCGAACCATGACCAAAGATTAAGGGAAGAAGGGAGGATAAAGGATTGGCTAGGACTAGACAAAGTCACAAATTAGAGAAGGAGGAAGGATATTGAAATGAAAGAGAATACGGAAGGATATTGAGATGAAGACGAAGGCCTCATGATCTGGAGAGCTAAGAAATGAGAAAATAACAATAAAATAAATAAATGAGAATAAACATATTTATAAATATAATTATCATCAAGTCAAGCTAGACTAACTAGTCCTGAAGGTCAGCATAAAGTTTGGTCCAACTTGAACATCTAACCTAGTCTGATCAATTTAGTCCAATGTTTAGGCTAATTCATTTTACTTTAAACTAGATAGGGTTGGGTTGATCGAGTTTCAAACTTTTTTGCATAGCCCTAGAAACAAGCATATTCAATATTTTATAATTATAATTCCAAAAAAAATCTAATTCGAGAAAATTAAAGTACTAAAAACCAAACCAATCACTGAATTAGTCAATATACTAGTTCATGGGTTAGTGATTTAATCATGATTGAACCAAAGGTCAAACCAGAGGCAAATTGATCATGATTTAAATGTTACAATTTACATAAAAATACATTAATTATGAAAACATTCAATCAAATCTAATATTAATGCCTCATACAAGATACAAATATAACAATAATTATATAAATACAACCATCCAAAAGTTTAACAATAATAAAATATTATATTACAAGTATTCATTTTTATAGTTACAACCTTTCAATCATTAAAGAGTCTAAAAATAATAGTTACTAACACCCAATTCATCATCAACTTCATTCAAATCTCTAGGCACATTATGAGTTGAATGAGAAAAACCAAAACTACTAGCAACATCATCCAATAAAGATGGGGCTTTGGAACAGTAATATGCGAGCTAAAATCATTACAAGCTTCAATTTCAATTTCCTATACAAATAAAACACTTTGAAGTAACAATCAGGCAAAGTAATTCAAATAGAAAACAAGCAACAGTAAGGCATTGATTTATCAAACACTAGCAATTAAAAATACAAAGCAACAATCAGACCAATGAACGACAGCAAATAAGGAAGAATTCACTCAATCAAAAAGGCCAAGGAGAGGAGGAAGAGAACATTGGCAAGTAGACGAGTAACACATAATAGATAGAGATGAGCATGGATGCAAGCACGAGCATGAGCAGACGGTGAGGAGATTCAGTGCAAGCATGAGCTAGAATGCTAGCACATGTGGCATGAGCAGATGGCAAGGAGATTTAGTATCTATGGCAAGAAGAGATTCAATAATTAAGCATTGACGATGAGGTTCAAAGGGTGAGCATAAGTTGAGATTCAACATCGACAGCAAGGAGATTCGATGTTGATGGCGAGAACTTCACTTATGCTAGGGATTCATTAAGTTAGGTTTTCTATGGCTAGGGATCAATCGAGTGAGACAGAAAGAAGGTTAGTAAAGTCTAAACTTATTTTTTTAAAAAAAATTAAAACATAGAAACCTCTGCCTCACCAAAACAATATCATTTTGGGGGTTTTGTCCAAAAAAAAAAAGATTACTTAAACAACCCAACCAACCAATTGAGTTATCCTGAGTTGGTCGGATTACATTAGGTCAATCACGGACTTAGTTAAAGTGCAAAACTGGACCAATAAAGTGGCCAATTCACTAGTTGACCTGGCCATTTAAGTTCAGTTTTTCATTTAATAGAAAAAATTGGATTCCATTGATGATGGAATTTGTACAATTCTTTAGGAATTATTTTTGTGAGGCCTCTTTACCTTTCCATGACACATCAATCCCCACCTCCATTGCACATTCACCGACTCATCCGATGCCCTCATAAGTGGCATCGATCACCACTACATCTTCTTGGGTCTTCATTTGCCTTCGTCTTCTCTAGTCTTTCCATGGTGAAAGATTTTTCTCTTAGCAATGATGATGATAAACAATGTGCTGAAGATGAAGGACAATGGCCACCATCATTGCCAAGAAGTACGAAGCTTCTTCACAAATTTGGTGCGGCTTCTCCATTGAGAAGGACCCACCATTTACATCTATCAACGACCACCACCCATATTGAGAAGGACAATGCTTCTGCACAAATCTATCGCAGCTTCTCCATTGAGGAGGATGAAGACCCTCCATTGACCTTTTTATCATTTTCCACCCTTCAAATTATTATCTATCTTAAAATTCTATTGTGATTTTTGGTATTGGCTGACAACGTTGTGACTAGCGCCATTGTGCTGCCGATGGCTCTAACGTGTTGCCGAAAGCTCCATTGTGCTAGTGTACAGTGATATTTCCTATTCCATTTTCTATTCTACTTCTTGTCAAAATCATTTTTATCGTACCAAACATGCCTTAAATGTTTTCCTTCGAGCATATGTTGCCCGACATCATTAACAACGGGTAAACTAAATTTAAATCCAACACAAGTGATAGTAAGTAATGACAGTGCTATAAAGTACGGCCACTACGAATCGGCAAAATTAACAAAGAAAACAAAAACAGAGGCGGCGGCGGCAGCAGCAATCGTCCAAATCAGCTGCCTTTTTGACAATTAACACTGCCAAAATGTGAATAAAAAGCATGAATTTGTTAAAAGCATGAATAAAAATCGTCCATTTTTATTCGATCGTCCAACTCAATAAGATGGGTTAACAATAAAGAACATCTATAATAAATATGAATTTGTTGAAAGAATTAATTGTCTGGAAAAGTTTTGCGCCTATATACGACTATAACCGCCTTCCGGTATATTTTGAATATGTTCAGGGAGATATCCAGCCGTGTTTCCTTCCAATAAATAAAATTGGACGTGGCACAAGACCCTGAAAGCATAGCAATATAAGGGGGAAAAAAGTCCGGACTCGAGGATATATTCAGTTTAGGCTTCAATTCTTGAAGACTGTCCAACAGTATTCTCCATTCTTGAGTACCACTCACCAATACGAGTGTGTTCGACCATGTCTTTGCCAGACCTAAGATGGCGAATCGGTCTCAGCACCCCAAAGACAGCTAAGTCAGCCAAATTTGGCTTAGATCCTCCTGAAGATAAAAAGAAGAAGAAATGAATCGTACTTGGAGGGAGGGGAGCATAAGAAATTCATGAATGAAATATATAAAACCTGAAAACATTTCTCACTACTGCCTTTAAGTGGGAACTTGCGTCAGCATAAATATATTTTAAAGATAAAGACCCAGTTTAAAGCAGTACAAATTAATGCCATCTTGCAAAGGCTGTTTATCAAATAGAGATGACTCAATCCTAAAACATAATGGCATGACCTCAATTTTCTAATTGCCATAGGTAGCTTTCGATATTTGCATATTTGCAGACGTGGACTTGTTAACATTAGTTTCAAATTATTCAAGTAACTGCATGCTATTTCAAACGTCGCATAACTTCTTTCTTAAATCTTACGCACGTACACACAAGGGTGAGGAGGAGCGTACCAAGGAATTCCCGGCCATTTAGAGCATCCACCCATGTTTCTGCTGCCTCATAAAGAGCTGCACGTTCATCAGTAATGTTATACTTCTCCTTCAGATTCTTGGACACAAAATACATTGCTGCAGCTCCACCATACTTAACTGTAATTCTTTCCATAAAACTGAAATTTCCTACACATCAAATTCAGTAAAAATTTAATAACCTATCCAACACTAGCCCATCTTCAAGATCAGAGAGCATGGCGAACTGAATAAGCTTGTAAATAAGCACATACAAGCATAAAATTCACAAGTTCAATGCAGTGCAAAGTTATTTAGAATAAAAAAAGTAGTCATCGATCCAAAAAAAAAAGGAGTAATCAAAAGACAAATGATTGCCTTGCAATGTGTGGGATGTGTACATGCAGCTCTATTTCCATGTGCAAAGGAAATAAAAGGTCTAGTGATTTAGAGCTTGTTAAGCCAAGTTGTGGAGAACAAAACGACTTCTTAGTCCTAGGCTCTCTCTCTCTCTCTCTTTTCTTTTCTTGGGAGGGGCTTGTCTTTACGCATGTTTAGCCATTAAGTGATAGCATAAACTGATTTTTGTACTGCAAGAAAGAAGCAAGAAATTGAATCCTTTGTTTGAAAGAAAATAAATTTTTCTCAACAATAACACCCTCCAAAATAGACAGTCACAAAACTTCTACCTATATATGAAGATAACAAGACGAATTCAAGTATCTTGTCTCTTACTGCTAACATTGGGGCCTTTTAAAACCCATCTGAGCTCAATAAAAGGCAAATTTATCTGAAACTACTGTTTGTTTCCCATAAAATTCTCTCTTCAAATGGGAAACAAAATGTTCTAACTTATCAACCAACCTACATTTTCTAAGAAATTTATGCATATTAAGATGACTCGACTTGTTTCATTTTATTCCTTGCTATAAAATAAGATGCATGTCTAACATGAAATAAATACTTGTATCAGGGACTAGAACATCTTACCATTACTTGTAATATAGTCAAAGGACTCGAGGGCCTCAGAAGAATTTCGATATATATTGGGTGACAGAACATGCACTAAGTGATTATCAACCCACCTATATTGCAATGACAGAAATAATAACATTAGTAGATTTATATGCTAAGCAGACAATAGTTAGAGCCTCTAATTTGGGCGGGTTGAGCTTATTCGGGTCATTTTTATTCGGATCAAGCTTAAAGTATCATACTTTTTTAAAAAGCTCACATAATCACAACTTACCCTAACCTTTTCGGGTGGGTTTGGGCTGGCCCATCAAGCTTGGCCTGAATTACCTGCTCTACATACATATAGAGCTGGTAATTCCAACGGCAAGGTTTATTCGAATTAGACTTACTATTCTGCCTTTTTAAAAAACTTATATAGTCAAACTTGGCCTTAACTTTTTTTGGATTGGCCCGTCAGACTTGGCCCGAATTACCAACTCTAATAGTCATATTCCCTAGATTGAATTTTAATGTTTGAATTCTGTGTTCAATTCAATCCAGTTAAACCCCTAAAGCAACTTGGATTCCCAATAATACTATATCTTGATAGTCTACACCAACAGTTGCTTGTTTATGAGACAAATGCAGGGCACATGTTGCATTGGATGGCGATTTGATAATCAAACAGCAGGAGAGAGATGTTCAAACAGAAGTCAGAAGCAATTTACATCTTAAAACGTTCTCTACTGTAGAAAATACAAACAAATTTTCTAACAGAGCCATGTGTGCAAAAAATGAAAAAGATTATAATCCTGGGCCAACTATGAATATCAAGGGACAGAAAGTAAACAACTGAAAGATATGAAAAACCATTGAATTCTGATTCATATTAAGATTTATATCGCAGGAATAAATATTCAACAATCCCAAGATTCCTTACAATACATAAACGCAGTGTGACAAAAAAATTAATGAAATCAACCTACCAATCAGAATGGAAGCTAAGGATTTATGGCATTAGGCAGAAAAGGGACTATAAACTTAACATTCACTGTTTTTTCCCTAACAATGACTCATTGAATGTCTACAGATAACGTAGGAATACATGTGGAATGTTTATATGGCCATTAAGGGATATACTTTTTCTTTAATTGTTCAGCAATGAGCTAAAAATAAGTAGAGAAAGGAAGGAGGCCTTCTCTTACAAAAACTCAAAGCCACTACTATTTAGTCAGGTCAAAAATATGAGCATGCACATTAGGAAAAACTTTTTAGAATAAAGAAGCAAAGAAATAAGCATATTCCATCAGGCTTCTAAGAAAAGCTGCAGTCACTTAAGCTTCTTACCGCCGCCATTTTGTCTCTTCATCATCCTCTGAGGCTGAATCATCCTTTTCCTTCAACAAAAGCTTCCGGCTCAACTTGTCAATTATTGCTGCAAAAACAGATGCAATATTGATGAAAAATAGCAATACAGGCCATTCAGAATACATAAATTAATGAAAAACCTAACCATTAAATTTATGTCAAAATATCAAAAACCTGATGAGTCATTTAGCTGCTCGCCATCTACCATCAGTATGGGCACCTTCTTATAATCAGACCATTTGATTTCTTTCTTACTGATTGGGTTGACCTCCACCACTTTGTAAGGTATATCAAAGTAGTCCAAGAATGCTGATAAAGCAAGTAAAACATCCGATCAGCAACAAGTAGAATGATGTGAGAGGTTAACGATAAACAACAGCAAGTACATAGACTGAAGAAACAAAGAGAAACAGAGATCCAAATGTGATTTAGAATTTTACTTTTGTTTGAGCTTTAAAATTATCGATTGCGATTCACATGGGCAGCAAAAGTACCCTGACATTGTCAGCATATATGCTTCTCAATCGACAATGTCCAACGGAACAAGCATCAGACTAGAGATAAGGTACCTTTAACTTTATTACAGAAAGGACAAGCCTCATACTGGTAGAGAATAACGTTCCGAGGAAGAACTTCCGCCGGTGGAGGCTCCTTTGCATAGACTTGTTGAGAATATGAAGCAGTCGCGACTACCGTAATCAGAGCCCCCGCGGCGCCAAGAGACGCCACTTGCGCGGAACTTCCGTTGAGTAGGCCAAGTAGGGAGGAGAACCACCGCCGGCGATTGTATGTTTTGCCTGTGCTGGTACCATAAAGAGCAGACCGTAGAAGACGGCGTTGGACAGGAAATGAGATGCCAGATCCGCCATGCTCAGCGGCGAGGGTTCTGGAGAGAACAAAGGAGGCAAGTGTAGAGGCTCTCCTCATAGTGTATAAGATCGAGAGGCAAGAGAGGCGAAGGAGAAGGCCGCCTAGGTTGCCGTTGGTTCTATGGAGGAGAAGGATTTTGATGTCGGTTTGCAGATCACGAACACGAAGTGAGGTTTTAGACTTGCAATGAAAAAAATGGGGCTTTGGACTAGTACCTTAGGGCGTGTTTGTTTTTGAATCGGCTAGGATGAATTGATTATTATGATTAATTTTAAATATAATTGATGATTGATGATTTATAAAATTAATTAATAAGATTAATTTTTATAATAATTGAAAAGTATAATTAAAAATAAAATAAATTCATGATTTTATACAAATATATCTAAATATTTATGCATGTTTTTTATAAAAAAAAAATATCCAAACATCTCATGCATGTTAAAATTAATTGTTCCCTCCGTCTCAAATTATAAGATATTTTTAAAAGAATTTTCTATCTCAAAATATAAGACATTTTAGATGCATTAAAGTTCATTAAATGTATTAATTTTAATATTATCCCTTTTTCCTTTATAATTAATTTTTATTCCTTCTTTTCTCAATATATTAAATGATGAGTATTTTTAAAAGTTTATAATTTTATTTTAAAAAGATAAACTTGTTAAGTATATTTAATAAAATTTATTAATATATAAGATTTTATTTAAAAATACCTAATAATTTAAAATGGATAGAGTATTAACCCAAAATCATAATTATATCATAAACAATTATTGCTTATTTACGTACATATACATATACGTGTGTGCGTGCGTGCATGTGCGTGTGTGTTGTAAAGCACATATCAAAGTATTGTAAATCTATGGTGCTTTAATGAGTGCTTTACTTTATATATATACTCCATCCATTTAAAAATATAAGATATTTTTTAAGGAGTTAAATGTTTAAGAATGCAATGCATATTTAATCTTTTAAAGTATAATCATTATTTTTTAAAAAAAATTTATATTAATAGTGACTTTATATTTATTATAGAATGTTTAATAGAGGTAAATAAAAAAAATAGAGTTAGTTTAAAAGTAGGTAATTATTTTATTAAAGGTGATATTCAATTAAAATGCCTTATATTTTTAAATAAAAAGAGTATATATATATATTTTAAATTTGGTTAATGGATTTTTGTTAAAAATAAAAATATTTAATTGTGAAACTTATGATTAAAAGGTGGGTGTAAGACCTATTATTAAAAAAATGTGAACGTGGAGCTTATATTTAAAATTTTAAAAATTTAGATAAGATGCAAAAAATAATAAATTTTGTATATTTATAGGGATCACATAGAATTTATAGTAAAAATTATTTGTAAATATAAGATTCTCAATAAAAATAATAAATGTTGGATATGTACAAAAATTACTAACAGTAAAAAAGTTAGTGTGGGCTTATGATTTAATTAATAAAATTAAATTAGTAATTAATTTACAAAATTAATTTTTTAAAATCAGTTAATGGATGATTTTTTTAAAAAATAATATATATATATATATATATAGTTGTGGGACTCATGGTAAAAAAAAATGAATGTGTGATCTATCATTAAAAAAATATAGGTGTGGGACCTACATTTATAAATTTTAAAAATTTAGACAATACATAAAAAATATTAAGATTTTTATATTTTGAAAGATCATATAGAATTCATGATAAAAATTAATAGTGAATATAAAATTTTTAATAAATATAATATGTGTTAGATATGCAAAAAAATTACCAATGATAAGAAAAATACTTATGGGACTTGTAATCTAATTAATAAAATTTATTCACATCGGATGAAAAACATTTGTCGTATAAATTTTCATTTGCAAAATGTTAAAATTTTAGATAAGGTATAAAAAATAATAAAATTTTTATATTTTAAAAAATCATGTAAAATCTATAGTAAAAATTAGAGATAGATATAAAATTCTTAGTAAAAATAATGTATGTTAGATATGTAATGAAATTTATATAAGAATATCATAATTTAGATCAAGAGAATTTACTATATGTTTATTATTAACATAGGGCAGTGAATCATAAAATAGTTTGTGTGATAATATATAGAACAAGTTTTTATTCATATTTTTTAAATACAGAAGGTATAAAAATATAGGATTATATTATTTATATATAAAAGTTAATTGTGGTTTGAAAACCTATCATTGATATAATTACGTGCTTTAAGTCTAAGTAAAAAAAAACACGATGAGTTTTAAGTTAATTTATAATATTAATGAATTTATTGTATACTGCATACATAATTTTTTTAATAATTATTATATTACTTGTAATACTTGTACATATGATTGATGAATGATATTATAGCATGGATTATATTATTTGCATGATTTACAACTATTATAATTATAATTTATAAATAATAATAATATAACATGAAGTGTAGCATGGATTATATTATTTGCATGATTTACAACTATTATAATTATAATTTATAAATAATAATAATATAACATGAAGTGTAGCAGGATTCATCAAAGTGTATGTTTTTTTTTAAGATGATACATGGGTAACAAATTTTGAAAAAGAATAAACTAGGTTATATTTTAAATTGTGGAAGGTAAGAACTTTTAAAAAATATTGATATTTTTTTAATATGTATAAGAGCAACATATTGCATAATAGAAGTCATTCTTTATCGATATCTTTTTATTAAAATTTTAATCTCATACTTGTCAGTTGTGGTAATGTCTTGAAAAATAAAATAAAAAGTTGTTCCTTAAATTTTAATTTACACAGGATAATACATTTTAAAATAAAATAAGGTATTATTTATATTCTTAATATGTATGAATATAACAAATTTTTAAATAAAATATTCTTTAAATTTTAATTTGTATAAATTAATAAATTATAGATAAAATACACTAACATTCCTTTTATTTTATTAAAATTATAAATACTTTTTCTTTATTTTTACAACTTACATTTAAGTTTCATTACTAATGTAGTTAGGAATTTCAACCTAAAAAAATGCAGTTAGAAATATTATGTTAAATATTTTAAAATGTTTAATTTAGTATTTGTATTTATGTTGAAAAAATTTAAATTATTAAATCATCCTTATAATTTATTTGTCTACCCTCTTGCTTTTTAATTTAAGGAACTTCAAACAATTTTCAACCAATAAATTTTTAACATTTAAGTATGACAATAATTCAAAAATATCTTATCAAAATTATAAAATTTAAATAACATAAACATAAATTATATTAACTCATTTATCTCTTAGTTCATTAAGTTTTTTTTTTTTGCACAAACCTATTTGAAATATTATTTTTAACAAACTTACTCTTTTTATTAAAAACACGGGGCTTTTTTTAGGAGTTATTTCTTATAAGTTGGATATTAAAAAATATATAAATTTTTTTAAAATTTTTAAGCTGTAATCATTATTTTTTTTTCAAAAGTTCTCTCAATGAATGATATACTTTATATTTATTTTAAATTAAAAAATCCTATTGAATAGTAAATATAAAATAATAGTGTTAGTCTAAAGGTAAATAATTATTTTATTAGGGTAAAATTTGATTAAAAATGCTATATATTTTGAAAGGATGGAATATGTATTTAACTTTTTTCTAAATAAATCAATTTATATGACTAATAAATTTAAAATATCAATACAAAATTTAAAAGAATATATTCAGAATGATATTCTAAATCAACATACATAACTTAACTGTGAGTTAATAGTTGAATAAATAAAAATAAAAATTTAAAAGTTAAAGATATATTTATATTTTATAACTCCTTAACTATCAATTTTAAGGTGGATTCATATAGATTTTAAAAATTAAAAAAAAATTGAAATATCTCTCCTTCATAAGCTCTGTCATTTTCACTGTAGGTGATTATATACGCAAAATTATACTTTTAATGTATACAAGGGTAATAAATTATAAAAAATAATTTATTTTTAAAATAAGGTAAAGTTATATTTTGCTGCTTGTAACACTATTATTGTTGTAAAGCTAACTTTAAAAAATTTGTAAGACTTTATTTTAAATGTTAAAAAGTGGGGTTAAACTTTTTTAAATTGATTGAATTTAAAACATAGAAATAAGAGGCAAAATAATCAATTTCATTTTAAAAAAACTTTAACACAAAAAGAATCAAATCTCTTAAAATACTTCACTCTTTTCCTTATCTAATATCCCATGCATCACTTGTGGCGAAATCTAGTCCTTCTAAAAATCTATCCAAAAATAATATAAACTATTTTAAAAATTATATTTTTGAGTTTATAATTGATTTAGACATACATAAAGATGCTTGGATATTTTAAAGAAAAATATTATTTTAGATTCACAATTGATTTTAACATATATAATGGGTGTTTGAATACTTTCTAAAAAATATGATTTTAAATTTATAATTAATTTTAATATGTAATAGCGATATTAAAATGTAATATTTTCATAAAACTATAATTTTGACCTTTAAAATTAAACATAGAAGTTATCCAAATAAGCCCTTGGCTTCCCGCCCGGTGAACTCAAAATTTCATTTTTCATTCACGTTGGGAAATTGGAAGTGCTTTTGGTTGCCACCGGAAGAGTGCACTAAAAAATATGTTAAATTATGTCTAATTCTTCTGAAATTTGGAAAATATATCAATAATATTTTAATCAGTAAAACTTAATAATGAAGCTTCTAAACTTTTAGGTGTGTGTGGTTACCTTCTACCATCAATTATATACTTCCTTAATTTTCTATATATTTTTAATCTTCTCAAACTTTGACTTGTATGAACAAAGCTCTAAGTTTAAGTTATATGTGAACAAGTAAAAAACAAAACTAGTAATGAGAAAGTTATTGTATAATATTGTCAAAAAAAATGTTATTGTATAAAAATATAAGTTCAATGAGGTTTGTTGTAAAGTTTTAGTAACAGTTATATACATGTATAGTGAAGAAATTTTTATACGTGATGATATAAAATTTAAGTAGAATATAATTTAACTTATTAAAAATTATTAGAGAAAATAAATGAAAAATCACATAGAAGTTTCACAGAATCTCATTCTCATTCCCATCATCTGCAAACCAGATTGAAATTTCAGTGAGTGAAAAGAAAGAGGCAGAACCATGTTAGCATTTTTTTGTTTTTCCCCAGGAAATGAA